GGTTCTTGTCCAAGATAAAGAAAACATATTTTTTGTGCTGTTTCAGACAATGCTGGCTGACTGGTTGTAATCCTGATGAATGGAAATACATAGACAATCTCTCTTTATTTATTTTTACATTCCACATGGCTTAAATTAAGTCTTATTTAAGGAATCCCACCAATCCCCAACTGTAAAATGCTACATATACCTGCACTTCAGATTTTGAAAGCAATTCCTCATTAAGCAAGAATAATGGGGAACTAACAAATACATTCCTCTAAAAAAACTGGGGATACGGGCCTCTGATGACAACAGTATCCCCTTTGGGATGAGAAGCATTCAGTTGTCATCAGCTATCCCTTGCCTGAAATGAGCTCATATTCATCATTAGAGATATCTTACTGAAACATGCACACCATGTTAAAGCTAACGTTCAGGAAAACTAAGAGAAAACAAACAGAACTGTCAGTACAAAGATTCTATAGACAGATTGGTACTTAGAGCACTGCTCTGTTGCAAAAATATTCTGCTTATTCAAGTCTTTCTGTTATTTTTATGGCTATTCCAAGAACTAAAGCTTGCAGCCAGATGAACAATACAACTGAAGAAACAGTCCTTCGAAAGGTACTTTATAAGCCAACTCATAAAAATACATAGATTATCTTATTTCTCAAGTTCAGTGCCACTATTGAGAAACATTCCTTTAGGCCAAAGTGCATGAAAACAGCTTTATGTTGAAAAAAACAGTTCATCTTTGCTTGAAAGTGGGAAGATGAACTATGCTTTATGCTGAGGGCTATTAGTAATCTTTTGGAGAAAGCAAGATTGCCACAGAGGGTAGAATTAACCTCATGAGCTTATTCATGCACTAAACTTTTACACAATCTCCTACTTATTAAAAATATTTTCCTTTATGTGATTAAAAAAAAAACTCCATTGCCCTGAATCTGCATCTATTTGATATGTAATTTTACTAAGAAGCCTGAGAACCTTGAATTTCAACAGTTGCTTTTAAGAGCGGGATGACTGCCTGATAGGGAGTAGTTTTGGGAATTAAAAGAGAAATTAAAGATCTAATACTGTCTTCTTTCTAAAGTTAGCATGGAGAGGAAGGAAAAAGAGATGCTCAAATATTCCTTCTCTCTTATAATTTTATGACAGTCTCATGATATATTTCGAACTGCAACTTGAAACTTGAGTTTAGTCACTACAGCTGTTCTATTTGCCATGGTTTGAAGAGCATCCTGCTGACAAGGATATTTTCAAGAAGGTGTTTCTTGAGTAAGGAAATGGAAGATAACTTAGAAAAAGCTTGTACAACTATACTGATAAACCATTTGAAGAGCATCCTGCTGACAAGGATATTTTCAAGAAGGTGTTTCTTGAGTAAGGAAATGGAAGATAACTTAGAAAAAGCTTGTACAACTATACTGACAAACCACCTATGACTTGGCTGTATATTTTCCTCCATGTTTTCTCTAGCTTAATCAGTCTTAGTATTAAACAGACATTTCCCTTTAAAGGCAAGGTGGAGCGGGGGAGGAGACAAAATGGTATATAAAACTGCTTTCCAGGACGCTGAAGTCATCAAAAATTTGGGACGGTACTTAAGTTTTTCTGTAAACATACTTCAGCAGTACACTATACAAATACAACCTCTAAAACTGATAGCTCAGAATAGAGGTTAATCAATGCTATTCAATGAAATTAATTTGTAGGTACCAGCGGAAAATCACTGTATGGATCTTTGATGACCAGCTGTGATTATCAGCATATAAATCTTGAAATTTCTGAAAGGCTTTCCTCCTCCTCCCCGCCCCTTCCCATCCATCTGAGGATGCTTCCATCTGCTTCAGAGATGAAAACTCAGATTTTCTAATGGCACCTAAGTTTTTAGGCACTTGCAAGATGAGTTTTGCAGAAGGCAACAGCTGGCTAACACCTTCCAAAAGAGAAGCACTGTATAATAGAAACTTTCCAGTATAAACAGCGAGTGCATCCAGAATGAGGACTGGGACAACAGAAAGAAGATAGAGAAAAATTTTACACTCAGACTGGAGGTGGAAAATCTTAAAACGTAACAGCAGAAGACATTCTGAGTCACAGCATTCAATAAACACATGATGTTATAACATCACGTTAGAGTTACCAAATCCAGCTGTTGGTCCTGCCACTCTGCTGGCTGCTTCTAGTTGTGGGGACTAAAAACATAATATGACAACTTTTGTTGTAGTTTACAGCTCTGGGTATTAAAAGAAGCCAGAACCAATGTCATGCACAATGTCATACACAAACACACCTTGCAGCAGCTCAGGAGCCACTACACATCTTTTAAGCCATCCCACTGCGATAAAGAAGAGCAGAACAGGCAGCTAGTAGCAGCCACTGCTTCAGTCACTTTTTTTCTATCTGCCACTGAGCAAGAGTGATGACCTTTGCTTTTCAGATAAGGGAGAGGATATTTACAAAAAAAAAAAAAAAAAAAAAGCCCCACTTGCAGAGCAAGGACAAGGAAGAAAAGCGTTTTCTAAAAAAAGCCACAGTTAATAACATGCTGCAACTCAGTACATATTTAAGCAATGAGTTTTAAGACTACTTTAATTAGTAAGTCCTGCTGTTAGCTCCAGGAGACTTCCATGGCAGAGGACTCCTCCCTTTTCATTACAAATACCTATTTCTAGCAGAAGAAATGTATTACCTCTTATTACCATTCTACAGAGGCAATTCAAAGTCTTCTCACCTCTTTGATATAGCGCATTAAACGACAGAGAGTATTTACCAACGACAAGGTAAATCCAGCGAGGCCTTAATTTCTCCGAGCTTCCTGAACCTCACAGCCTGTACATCGCTCATATTCCTTCAGCTCATGCTCTACTTTGCTTATCATGCAATTGAGAACATCCAGGCTGGATTTACTGTCCCTTGGAAGGTCAAGGAGAAGTGAATTTCCATGATTATCACCCATCCTCTGTCTGGAAGAGTTCTGTGCAGCTTGCTTCCTTTTCACTAAAGGAAGGGAAAAAACTCCTTGAAATTTCTTGAAATTTCAACTCATACAGAAAGCTTGTAATTTCAATGAAATCCTATTAAATCTTTGTTGAAGCAAGTCCAAGGAGAGGTGCTCTCTGGCCCTGAACTATAACAGATCATCAAAAATATCTCCCCAGTCACTTAAATTATCTTCAGATCAAGAAAATAAAACAAACAACAAACAAAAACACTTTTTCTGCCAACATACTACTGTCTCCTGAGAATCATGGTTTCCTGCCTTTAACTTCAGATACCTGCTATACTTTCATTTTTCTCAGTTAAAAGTACAGAAACAGTCTTCTGATGAACTACCAGTGAAAAATGATTAGCTGCTTTGTTTTCGATGTCAATCCCCATATGTAAACATATGTTCATTAAGTAAATTAAAAATCATTAAAAATCTGGGCAACATAGCAAAGGCAAGATTACTTAGGAGCATGAAAGCACCACAGAGAAGAGAACTGTATGGCTAGCAACAAAATGGGTAGCATTAAAGAGCCATATATATGGTTCCCAACATCCCATGGACTTTGTTTTGTCAATGAAAATTCAGACCCCGCTTGAATACACTGCCTGAAGGGCCTATGGAATACCCACCCTTGGAGGTGTTCAAAACTCAGCTAGACAAAACCCTGGGCAACCTAACCATCTTTGGAGTTTGACATGCTGTTAGCAGAAGTTTGACCAGAAGAATTCCAAAGGTCCCTTTCAACCTACATTTTCCCATACCTAAAAATCTTGGTCAAAGACAGGCATGTTATTTTTAAAAGTACTGCACCTTTTGCTGAAATTTGCTTTTGTTTCCTTGAGTCTGGGTTCAGCACTTGTTTCACAGTGTAAGTGGGGTCTACAGTCTCTTCTCCCTCTTTGTTCAGAAGCCTTGAATGAATTCTCTTGACGTCAGTGGTAGCATTGAGGGCTGATTTAAAAACAAAACAAATAAGCAAACACACACATAAAATACACCAGGAAGGGTCCCAATAGCAAAATGTTTCAAAGTAATTACATGGAAATAACGCCCTTTTTTTGGTTTAGAAATTCATCTGAACTAGATTAACACATCTCCATCCATCATCCACCCGCACCAAAAAGAATTCCATGTAAGATCCTGTTAGCAGCTTAATATTCCTTGAGAGCCTGCGCTTTGGCAAATCCAACCTGAATGTTCCAGCAAAGGAGTAGTAGTTGTTGGAGTCAAAGGTACATTTACTTCTTGTGATAATATGTTTTTTCTCATTTCCTGTTCAGAATATAACTGAGAACTCCCTGAAGAATTTTCTTCTCTCAATGATCGGAATAGTCTACATTCAAAACAAGTGTAACAGCAAATTGTAACATGATAATAATGTGATTGTAAGTAGAATTTACTATTTAAACAAAGATTTTTAAAGTACCTCTAACTGCTAATATGAGTTCCCCATTCACAAAGAGTCTCCAGATTACCATGAAGGCTTTCTCTGGAATTATGGTCAAGAACATACCTATAATTCATGAAGGAAAACAAAAAGTAACTAACCGCTCCCCTATAGTATCCTTTTAACTCTGTCTACCTCAAACATTAAGATAGAAACCTGAATTAATATATTTGCACTGACCTGTCAGAGTTGGTGCTGGATTTGAAATCAAGAGAGTCCTGCTGCTCATCATCTGACTGACAGATGGATGATGTTTCCTCTTCCACCTCATTAATAACCTTTTGTAGGAATCAACAAATAAAAGCATAGGGTTTTCAGCAATTTCAAACTGTTTTTAGGAAGAAATACCAATTTGTTTATTTTTCATTAAAGTACTTCAAGGAAATAAGCATTCCCCATTTCCAAAATAAAGCTAA